GTTTTTATAGATGGCTCTTTTCAGAGCCACCTAAAAATGCATTGGCTGAAATGCAATGGGAAGCTTGTACTCCAGCCGTTACCCTCTGCATCAGTGAAAAATACCTACAAAACAAGGTGCGTTTTCACATGCATTTGTTTTTACGGAATGCCATATTTTCCGGACGTTTACGCGGTCCCTTGAGGGTCCGGGAAACGGTACGTCGACTGTATTCACATTCCCTATTAAATACTTTAGCTAGGTGGCTCTGTGGTCAAGACTCAAAGCCTATTTCTATCAAAGAAAAACTCACTGTTGGAAAATCCAAAGCTTCTAACAAACGCAAACTCACAACCAATTACACCTCCCAGCATCGCCCGTGCTTTAAAGCATAGACATGCAAGCAATCCCAAGACCACAGGCCAAGGCTCCATGAAGACACAAATGTTAGTTGTTGCTGCTGCTGCTGCTGTGTGGGCATGCAAGGCTTTTTCTTTTAACGTGCGAAGGTAACATAATGCAACACACCCAGGCACCCTCATGTGACATACTTGCGTACTATTATTCCAACCACAAATTATGCCTCAACAAGAACACATCTTACTGACCTCTGCTAGGAAGCAATGAGAGCTTCTAAGAATGCAATTCAACCACTACACTTCAACACAACTAGTTATGCACACTATTAATGAATATGAACAATGTGACAAAAAAAACGTGATTCGGCTCTGGAGCTAAAGCCTGCACTATTCAGGGATAGTATATTAGATGAAAGCTCAATAATACGAAGCTGCTGGAATTAATACAAAGCAGTGGAATTCGCCAGGGGAACTTTGCAAATTCGCGTCACCGAGATTCTACTGTACGTTTATATCGATGCCTCCCAATTCGTGAAAGTTATAATGCGATAGTACAATTTCACCAAAAGCATTGATCAGGTTGGATTGAATTTTTGTTAATGGGGCCAGATGACACACAGAAATATAGATTTCCTAAAGATTTTCCAGCCTACCGTACAAACATAAGAAATATTCAAAACTGTGGAGTTTCCCAAAATATCCGAGTCTTGGCAGGTATGAGCCTGGCTAAGATTACAATCCTGATGCCATTTTTAACCCAAAACTGCTCTCAAAACTAAAACAATCGTACTGTGAAACATTTGACAGTATTATACCATTACTTTTGGCTCTAAAAGGCAACATTTCATAGGCCAGAGAGGTTTGGTTCAGCCACTGCTTTCAAGCATCTTTGAAGTACTCTAATTTGTGCTGGCTGCCTAGAACTATAAAGTAATGCAGATCCTGTACTAGGGGGTCTCGTACGGTGACTTGTTTTACAGTAAAAGCTCGTCTATGTGACCCTCATCAATTCAGATAATCGGAAATGTTCTCAAGTCCCAGCCAGCACATAACATTGTTTAATTGCATCAAACTTTCGTTAATAGTCATACTTGGCTACAATCCAGTTAATTCAGAGTGTGATGCCTACGAGTTAAGGGGAGATGCGGGTCGAAAAATCGCGTTTTTTGCGAAAATTTCCACTTTTGAGATATTGCTGCTAAAATCACTTTTGATCATTCAACTATCATTTCCCCAAAGGTCATAGCTGAATTCAAACGAGAAAGTGGTAAAAAGTCGATCTGCGCTAGTGAAGGTAGCTGCCGAAGTCGCGAATTCACGCATCCGACGGCTATTTTTGAAAATCCGCCACTCGGCAACACGATGACGTCCGCCATCGGGGTTTGTTCGGTGGTGTAGATCAAGGCTCCTTCTAGTGTACAGGCGTCCCCCTAGTTTCGTATTTTAATGAGGAATTTCACAAAACAGTCGTTTCCAAGTCGGTTTGCAGCCAAGCTGCAGCCGCTTCGCGCATCTCTACCGGTCACATGGTACGCTACCGAGGCCGCCATTGGCTACATCTGATCGGCCTCGCTCGCTGAGCGCTTGCGACGATCGGCACTTGCCGTGCGTTTCTATGTTTTTCCGAGTTCACCATGGATAACTCGAAGAAGCGAGACTTCCGAGCACGAAAGTTTGCAAGCAAGAACAAGTACCAAGGGCGTCGACGTAAACCGAAGCGCAAAGCAGCGGTAGAAGAAAGCGAGCCGCGGGCCACTAGGCCTAATCAAGGCAGCGGGGATACGGCGGCTTGCGGGAACTTTGACGAAATCGACGCCGCGATCAAGTTCATCAGCGCATCAGAAAAAAAGATTGAACAGTTCGAAAGCGAAAGAACGAAGAGTGTTTGTGGCTCTGTGAGCGGAGTATTTTGTGACATCGGCGCACTGACATCGATGGTAAGCCGTGCTGTTTGTCCAACATGCCACACCGCTGGACTCGTCGTTCGCGACACCGCAAGTAAACATAAGGGCCTCTCTTCGTTCCTCGAGCTGCACTGTGATAACAGTGAGTGTCCTGAGTCAGTGGTTTCTGCCGCGCATAGTTCGCGGCGTGTTCTGCCGGAAAGACAGCCCACCGATGCCGGTGATGACTGGAGCTACCGAAGCGGCAGCTCGCGCGACAGCTTCGCTGTCAATGTGAAGGTAGTTGTGGCTGCGCGTGCAATAGGCATTGGGCATGAACAGCTGTCGCGTTTTTGCGCTATTCTTGGACTGCCAATACCTATGCATCATAAGACTTTTATTGCAATCGGCAAAAAAGTTCATGCTGCAGCTACCAAAGCTGTGCAAGAAAACCTGGCGAAAGCGCGGATGATAACTAAAGAGAAAGTGGATGGGGCTGATGTTGCTGTCATGTATGATGGCACATGGCAAAAAAGAGGGCACAAGAGCCACAATGGCATCGGCACTGCTGTGTCTGTGGACACTGGTTTGTGCCTAGATTTTGAAGTGCTATCGAATTACTGCCTTGCCTGTAGCCGGCACCAGGACTTGGGTGATGAGGAAGAAATATGGCAAGCATTCCACACACCTGTCTGCGAAAAAAATACAGAGTGCTCCTCTCATGCCATGGAGACTGAGGCAGCTTTGTGCATATGGGGCAGGACATCCTCATACACAACACCATTGCGCTTCACCAAGTTCCTCAGTGATGGGGACAGCAAAGCTTATACCGCTGTCGCTGAGGCCAAGGTATATGGTGAAGCTGTTGTGGACAAGGAGGAGTGCACAAACCATGTGGCCAAGCGTCTAGGCACTGCACTTCGGAAACTGCCAACAAGACTTCCACGAGGGGAAAAGCTGACAGATGGCACAATTCAGAAGCTGCAGAACTATTACCGTATTGCAATCACAAACAACAGAGGTGATATTCTGAAAATGCATCGTGCCATCTGGGCCTCATATTTCCATTCATCATCGAGCAACACAGCAGGCAGCCACCGATACTGTCCAGAAGGAGCGACTTCCTGGTGCAAGCATAGGCGAGCTGAAGCGCTTGGGGAGGCCCCACCCGACCACACACCAATCTTGACCAAGGCTCAAGGATTGGCTGTGCTTCCCATTTACAAGCGGCTCACAGATGAAAAGTTGCTGGTGCGTTGTATCCAAGGGAAGACCCAAAACGCTGCAGAATCTTTGAACAGCAAAATCTGGTTGTTGTGTCCGAAGACTAAGTTTGCCTCCCGGACAACAGTGGAAACTGCAGCTGCTATGGCCGTGTTGTGGTTCAATAAAGGACATTCAAGCTTTGAACACGTGCTAGAGGAGCTTGGTGTAGTCCCACCAGATCAACTGATCACCCTGGGCCGATCCCGCGACCAGAGGAGAATCGAAAGAATGTCTGCGTGTGAAACAGCCGAGGCAAGGGCCCATCGGCGGAACGTGGCAAAGAAAGCGCGCCTTGATGACTCCCTTCTCAAGCGGCGAGAAGGATCCACATATGGAGCAGGACAATTTTAGGTGCTCTAGCTGTGTCCCTTCTATGATATCACCAAGTTTTGTGCAAATCGCACTGTGTAATCATGAGTAAACATATTTACAACTTTCAAATGCATTTTTCTCGATTTCCATTTTGAGGTAATTCTCTCATCTTGTGCACAATCTTTTTTAGGCATAAAATAGTCCTATCTTGATGAAATTTTGCACAGAGCTTAATCAGCCACTCTAGAATACAAGTATCTACTTTAGGTTGCATTATACATCACAGATTTTTTGTTACACAACTTGATACACTGATAGAGAGATGTAAAATATGCATTTAGTACTTTTAATTTTTTTTTTTTAATGTAGCAAATAAATTTTCTGTTTGAGGTACTTTTCTGTATTGTACTGCTCAAGTGCAGCAGAATGAGCCATTTTGCAATTCTGTGTGAAAATTTTTAGTAAGCTTTATTATGTGCACAAAAAACACTATATTTTGATATCAAAGTTGTAGTAACTCCGGAACTACTATAGCTATCAAACAAATAATTGCAGTTATGAAATCAGCACTGCAAGCTTTACTAACACCTAAAATTTCAAGGAGCTGGGTTATGAAATAAAAAAAAACCTTTTTCGAGTAGCATCTCCCCTTAAAGCAGCGTTCGTGGACCATGGAAACGGGGCAGTGCAATCCACATCGCTATCTTCAGTTGGTAACTATGAATACGCCAAAACAGAGATCCTGCACCCGGTAAGGCTTCATTTTGCCTTGATGCAATGTGCGCGCAATGTCATAAAACTGAAACGAGATGAACTTTTAGCCGCAGTCCGCACGCTGGCAGAACACTCACGACATTGTGATGGACAAACTATCAATTACTGGCGATTTTACAGGCAAAAAACTATCGTAACGAAAATTGCGGCTTTTACATTCCTGTTTGAAAATATAGGCACAAGACTTGCATGTTCACCAAAAAAAATGAAAGTGTACTGGTGTAACAGACATCTGCTTATTCTTTTAATGCTTTCAATAATCAACATTCTTTCCTTCAGCCATTTTCTCCCAGTTGACAAGCTTTTAATACACAGCATCGGTCTTAGAGAGGTATACATAATTGGAGTAGAACTATTTTTGAACTTATGATTCTAATATTTGTGTGAATTACACTAAAGGAGAGTGCTATGTAAGCAGAGAACTTGCCTCAAGTTGCCGGGCAGCCTCCTCCGTCTTGCTGAGCAGGATTAACTTCTGTCGCAGGTTCCGGTAGTATATTTCACTCATCATTTCAGCCCGTTTCTTCGCTGCCTCTGAGCGGGCCTGCATGTTCATAGAACACGCTAGCTTACATGTATAGTTACTAATGTACTCCGCTTCAACAGTGTCGGTACTCATACCCGAACTAGGAGTTTACTCTAGGATACTGGCAACACTCCCAACGTCAAATTTCTCTAAAGCAAAGTGCTATGGTTCATTTCTTCCATCCGGTCGAAGAAAGCGAGTTTGAACAAGGAAATTCGTTGGATCCACACACTTCAAATGAACCACATAAAGTGACAACAAGGAGATAACTGGAATTCACTCAACTTTGTATTGTTTGGAGTTTAGGTAGAATTCCTAAATTCAGCACTCTCAAGAAATAGTTTAAAAAGTTCATACATACCAGGGGTCTCAAACACACAGCCTGCGACCTTTTTGATGGCAGCCAGGCTCACACATGACAGTTTTACATCACATATTAAAAAAAAAAAAAGGTTTTTTTTGTTATGCGGGACCATGGCAATGAGAACTATTTTTTGCAATATAGAGATAGAAAATTAAATTAAGCAGGTAGCTCCGATTAGTTGTACGGATATCGTAAATTGGTTATGAGCTATCTACTGCAGTTCCAGACTTACAATAGAGTAAACTTATTAAACAGAACCTGAAGGGACAAGAAAAGCATGTTTCATTAAGCAGTTCTGTTTACTGAAAGATGAGCAAGCGCACAAATTTAAAGTATGTGCCTTTCGTAGTGGGCGACGACCGGCTTTAAACCATGAAGCCATAATGATAATCACATGTTCTGACACCCGATGGCAATGTACATTTGTACCACGCATTATTACTGTAATATTTCATGGTGTATTGTGAAGCATGTACACAGGACGCATGTGTTTGTAAAGCACAAAAGTTACTTTCACTGCATTGCCAAGCAGAGGAAGTTATTTTCACGGTATTCACAAACAGACGAATGGCTGTGTGATAGGACATCCCCTTGCCACACAAACGATCCGGGTTCAATCCCTACTCGGACCCAAATGACCCAGGTTCAATCAGTACCCTGACTGAGGATTTTTTATATTACAGTCAAACCTCGTTATAACGAAATTGGAGGGCCGCCGCTATTTGCTCGTTATAACCAATATTTCGTTATAGCCGTAGCAAGCATTTACCGCAAATATTATGCACTGTACTTACCCCCAAAAAATAGCGGGCGAAATAGCATCCCGCCACACGGTGGTATGCAACCATATAACCGCATTCCCAAATAAAAAGGAAAAAGTCATGCACCTGTTTTAATGAACTTCAAAATACACAGCTTGCATTTCAGGCAGACTTAGCTGCAAAGAAGTCCGTAATTGGACGCTGATGCATCTTCCTGATGCGAACGATGGCTCGCTCAGCTGCGGCCGCAATGTTCAAGCCATCTTCGCCGCCCTCGTGAGCGCCGGAGTGGCGGCGCAGTAAGTCCACCGCGTCTAATGCCTCCGACGCCGTCGGCACGTTTGTCTCCTGTTTGTCGACAGAGTCATCGTCACTGGTTTCGTTACGATCACTGACAGCGCGCACAATATCGTCATCCAGGAGCTGCTCCGTTGCCACCACTTCCGAGTCCGCACTCACATAGTCGCAAAACGACTCGCTGTCAGGCACGACACCGGCGTCACGAAGTGCTGTCCATGATGCAGCGACTTCGTCTGATGTGGCAAAACCGTCCAGCACAGTGGGCTCGTCTGATGCCTCATCGCTGGCGTCTGGTGCAGCGGCAAATGAGGCTAGTCGAAAGCAGTTTGCGATCGTGGTCGCCGTCACACTCCTCCACGCCGCCTGAAGCATTTCAAGCGCAGAGTACAAGTCAACGTCGATGTCTCGCTTCATTCTCATGTTGAGCAGGAGCTTGTCTATCACACGCTTGCGGTAACCTGCCATCAGCGACATAATCACGCCTTGGTCAAGCGGCTGTATTTTTGCTGTGCAGTTGGCAGGAAGGAATAGCAGTTCGATGTTTTGAAGCACGGCAGCGGTATGGTGGGCGGTGCAGTTATCTAAAACAAGGCACACCTTGCGGTTCGCCTTTGCTAGCTTCTCGTCCCATTCGCAAAGCCATTTTAAAAAAATCTCCCTGGTCATCCAGGCTTTGCGATTAGCTACGTACTTGACTGGGAGCTGCCTCTTCCCCTTAAAGCAGCGAGGGGATGCACTTTTGCCAATTACGAAAATTGGCAGCTTCTCAGAGCCGGTCATGTTTGCACAAAATAGCGCAGTGATCTGCAGCTTACTTTGTTTGTCGCCATGGCACGGCTCGCCTTTGAGGGCTAACGTCTTGTGCAGCAACATCTTGAAAAAGAGAGCGGTTTCTTCCGCGTTAAAAATATCCTCCGCGAAGTATATTTCTAGCAGCCGCACGATGTTTTCTTTCGCCCACTTGGTAGCCTTTGCTTTGTCGACAGATTGCGATTCGCCGCAGACCCCTCTCCCGACAATGTCGTGGCGCTCCTTGAAGCGTTGGAGCCAACTCGAACTTGCTACGAAGTTGCCATAGCCCATGATGCAGGCAAAGTCTCTCGCTTTTCTTTGCAGCAAGGCGCCGCTCACCGGCAGATTCACGGCCCGCGTGTCCAAGAACCATTTAAAAACGACCCTTTCGACCGCTTCAAAGGCAGGTGCCCTCATCCTCTTAGCGCTTCCTTTCACGCCACGTGCAACGGCGTCGTTGATGGACTCCTGCTTGCTCAAGATGATTGACAGTGTGCTCGTCGATACGCCAAAGCCTCTTGCCGCGTTGCCTTTCTTGGTCCCCGATTCGACGGCTCTTATCATAGCCGCCCTCTTATCTAGCGTTATGCACTTTCGCTTCCCGCCTGGCGCATTCACGTTGCTGGAATCACGAGCGCAGCACGATAAAAGATAAGGCGGAAGCGGTCGAAAAAGAGAAGAAACACGCACGCAAAAGCAACGCGGCATACGTCGGCGACAATTGCAGAGACAGTGAGTGTGAAGAGAAAGGGGCAGAAGGGGCGCTCTTTTGCGCTGCCCTCTAGGAACCGGTTACTCAAGGGGAAGGGGGTATGTAAGATTAGGAAGCGCGCCTCAGTGCCATGAGAAAGGGGAGAGGGAGAATATAAAGAAGACACAAAAGAAAGGGCGAGATGTTCGCGAAGCTCACCGCTGTTGGTGGTAGCCAAGCGGCGCACGTGCAGCAACCTCTCCTCCGGAAACAGCGCAGGCCGTCTGCTTTGCGCGCGTTGCTGGAGGGTGCATGGCGGGAGTTTTGAACTGCTAAATACACATCTCGCGTTCCATGCCATCTCAAATTCGCGTTGTGCACTGTCGTGACATCGGCTCAAAATTTTACTTCCTAACAAAATATGTTCGTTATATCCCATAACAGGCAAATTTTTGCCTCGTTAAAACGAGGTTTTGAATACATTGGTTTTATGGGGACTTTCAAGGGGAATTAGGATTTGCTCGTTATATCCATTATTTCGTTATAGCCCGTCTCATTATAACGAGGTTTAACTGTATTTATTTTTAGTTGCATTCTCGATTTTTCAGTCACGCATAAGGTCATTTTTCGCTCACAACCAACAACGCCAACGCTAGAATTTCAGTGAAATGAGCCCTTTAACGCTATCGCGTTAAAATTTGAACTAACAGTTCCTTCTCTCCTAACCATTCGGCAGTATTCAGCACCTGAAGTGTTTGCTGTGATGTGAATATGTCATCTGCTCATCATTTACAAACCTGTTTTATCCCTTAGAGGCAGGTACACTCGCCACTTTTTGTACTCACACGATGAGAAGTACCACTCTGCCTAAAGTAGAGACGAGCCGATGAACAAAAGACCTCCTTTGCACCATTGAATATGTGTAACTCTGTTATTGCACCATGGCATCGGTTGGAAAAATTCTCACTACGCGTTTGTTGGTAGACGCGCATAACTGCAACACCACAAATAAAGTTCAACCTGTGGGTGGTATAGAGCCTTAAACGTTATTCACGGCTTCGAACCTTGAGGGACAAAATTTTGTGACTCCGCTGGCTGAGGTGAGCTTGATACCCGCAGTCAGAGTGACAACGGCACCACAACAAAGCACATCATTAAGCAAGAGTAGAAAGATGCCCACTCACGATAACCATGAGGCACTCCTTGGAAGGGTTGTAGCGAACCACAGCTGCCCCGATAGCCTTCTTGAACTCCTTGTGGGCAGAGTCATCCTTGGAACTGCCACAGCCACAGAAAGAAACGCGGCCGAAGGTGCCAGGTCACGCCAACTGACCCAGAAACCAGCCAAAATTCTCTCACCACTTTAAGTTGGCTAAGATACTCACTATTCACGTAGGTCGTCAGGCACATCCAACTCAAACTTGGTGAATGTGTTCTTGGTGATAGGTGGGCTACAAACAAAAAGACCGGCACTTGTCACAGATGAGACCAGAAATTTCAAAGCACATATAGCCAAGGTGCGAAGAAGTGCCTCTTTTTTATTAGGCCCTACAATTACAATGCCACCGGATGATAATTTTTTGGCATCACTTTAAAGCAGTATAATATGTCCTGTTTCAATTTTGGTGACATTGAGAGTACTTTTTGAAAACAGCGAGCTACAAGTGGGAAGTAAAATGTGGGTGCTTAAACATTGGTGAGCGTGCGACATACCAGCAGCTGAAATGACATGCCCCTACTTCACGATAAAAAGTGTGCCCCACCCCCCATTAGAATATTGCTCTCCTACACCAACAGCAGAGGCAACCAGAACCCCCGACAGAGCAACCTGAAACAAATTGAGGGAGGAAAGAGATTAAGCTTGTGGGGGTGCTAACACCCCCGGGGGGTAAAGTAGTTTGCGCCTCCTGGTGCACGTGTTCTGCGCATAAGCCGCATTTAGTGTTCACAGCTATCGAGCAGTAGGTGGCGTTCAAACCATCATCATCATGGTTAGAACGGTAGCGCCGGCAGCGACGCCTGGCAGCAAGCATGGGTGGCGGCTGGCACTAACGGTTGTCTGTAGCGGTGGGTCCCCTGTGCACGACACTGCAGGTTGTGTGCCAGGGGCCCTCGTGGCAAGTCCAGCGTTGGCGAAGCCGCCTCGAGTGTGTTCTTGTGTTTGTTTTCTCATGTTGAGTGTGGTGTAATATTGTGTTGTTTAGCGTGTTGATCATAATTGATGTTATAACTCGGCTGACAGTATCATCATTCTAAAAGCATTTAAATAAATGTGTATTGTTAGGTTTGGTCCGGCAGTGTCAACTGCGTCCGTTCCCTCCAAGAGCAGGGCTTCTCCACTTCACTATCCCACAAGATCCCCTTCCCGTGCCAGTCTAGGTGGTGCCACCTACGCCCCAGTGAATAGTTTGCCCCACATTAGAAAATTTCACAACCCGGAATGTAGCACTCTGTACAATACTTTCAACAGACCAACACTCATGGCATCTATTCGTTAGTTATTGTTTCAAACATTGGCAAAGTCACTGCTTCCAAAAGATGCGTTGTGGAAAGCGGTTGTTCCACTTTCGATGCATGTGTAAACTGACTGGGCTACATGTTCTAGAAGCTAGCAGCGAATGCAGGTCAAGAATGGTGGACGAGTAAACTTTCTGTGCATCTCCAGGTATAACCTTCGCCTCAAGCAAGTGATCAGGTACTCAAAGGTACTCAACACGTCAAGTATTATCTTTGAGTACCATATTTACTTGCGTAATGAATGCACTCGCATAATAAACGCACAACCAACTTCAGTCAGCAAAATCTGGATTTTATTTCTCCCACGTAATAAAAAACGCACTCCCTATATTCGTCACTGCAGTACCGCTAACAGGCACATGGCACCTCCTTGCCCGTTGAATGTCTTCTGTTTATTATTATTATGCCAACACAGCTCGCTCCCTTCTACCTTTATCACCGCTGCCATATTGTTCTTTCTATTTGCACATGGCACGTACCCCTGTCCTTTTTTTTTCATTATTATTATTATCCATGTACCACAGCAGGGTCCACAAACTGTATGAATGTAGAGACATCGCAGCTGATAAGCAAACAGCAAGCGAAGGTCATGAAACTGCCCGCGCCAACCGACGGTCGCTTCCTGCAAATACGGCTCACCCAATTGTTCGCGATTTTCGAGCAACATCGACATAGTTTCATGTTTCCATGGCTGTCGCGAAGGGCCATTGGTCACCATCGTGTCACAGGTTTCTGGAAACCAGAAAAAATTGCTTGTCGCCCAGGAAAGATCGTGACCATTCCCGTAATATGGTCGCACCCCTGATTCTCGCTTCGGTTCCGATTTGCTTTCATGCTTGTTATTCGCACATGTTTCAAGGAACACAAGACATAGGCTACCATTTCTACAGTAGCTTCTTATGTGAACAGCGAGACTGCAGCCATACTTTGCCATTAAACTTGTTATCGACGGCTTATTTTAACGCTTGAGTGGTAGATTGGTGCATTATCAAAAAAGTTGCGGTCGTAATGTGAGCTTGCCATGAAGCACAAAAAGTGCAAACAAATAGTCGAGATGTTGAATACCATACGCAAAGCTTGTAAGCATTGCGGTAGGGTTCGTTGCGGTAGATGCGCTTTGAACATAAAACACATGCTAGGATTACTAGGATAGGATGCTAGCATAGAATTATGCGAGTGCTAAAATTACGCGAGTAAATACGGTATATATAGCCCGTTCCAAACACCTTAACAGAAATGACTCCCGCAACTTATTACAGTCACCTACCTATTTCCTTATACGAGACTTCGATGTATCGCATTTCTTCGGAGCCATGCAATGAAGAAAGTGTGAATTCACCACTGGCTTGTGATGAAACAGAAAACACTGATAGAACTCATTAAAGAGGAGTAATGTCTGCAAAATCAGTAACCACAGTATTATATACTAAAATTCTATGCTACTCATTCTTCTTTTTCAATGTGTGACAACATGAGACTTCGTGAAATAGGTCAGCGCTTCCTTATAATATATTTTTTGACTTTAGCAATTATGAAACCCAGCTTCGCAGACAATCCAGCTAATTTTTAAAATATTCTCTTGTTACTTTTTATCTGGAGTACTTTATTCTTTGTTTCAGTTAGACGATTTCCCTGCTGATCCAAGAGACCTGAAATAAGAATTCACTTTTGTCTTCTGGAATGAACTAACCTATTTTGTTTCAGTTTGACGATTTTCCAGCTGAACCAAGAGCCCTGAAATAAGATTGATTAATTGATTGATTGATAAGTGGGGTTTAACGTCCCAAAACCACTATATGATTATGAGAGACGCCGTAGTGGAGGGCTCTGAAAATTTCGACCACCCGGGGTTCTTTAACTGTGCACCCAAATCTGAGCACACAGACCTACAACATTTCCGCCTCCATCGGAAATGCAGCCGCCGCAGCCGGAATTCGAACCCGCGACCTGCGGGTCAGCAGCTGAGTACCTTAGCCACTAGACCACCGCGGCACGGTGCCTGAAATAAGAATTGACTTTTAGTCGTCTGGAGTGAACTAATCTATACATTTTATCTGTTGCTACAATGTGGATGGCAATTTTGTGAGGCATATAGCTTGACACTATGGCCATCTTTAACCCTTTGTGATCCGAACACTTTCCCACCTTTTGTTCGTTCTGGTCCAAATGTAAAAGGCTCAATCCTCAAGTGAAGGAAGTTTACTTGCTCTTTAACAGAGGGTGTATATTGTAATGAGAAAATGTGCGACTGAATCGACCACAAAAGAACTTGTACAGCAGCGCATGACAACGGACCGCTACGGCCATGTGTTGTCAGGCAAGGAATGACATCCGACCGCACCAGGTGAATCAATGAACTGCCGTCTTTTGTCAAGTTTCATTTTTCCAAGAATTACTGAACTACTAATATTGATAAATAAATAAAAAAATACTATATACTTTTTTTAGTAATGCAATCTTTGAATCTATGTTTCTTGGAAACTGAAAAGGTAAGAGTACGAGTGGAGGTTCAATTTTAAGTGCAAGGGGCGCAGCTCCAGAAAAAGAAAATGGCTCCAAAGTAATGAGTTTAAGAGGGCTGTCTTACTTGGGGTTTTTTGGCCGCAGACGGTCGGAAGGTACAATCTCCGAGTAAGCCGTGTCCCAGCCCAGGTACTCCACCACATGGAAGTCACCCTTAGTCATCTTGACCCTCGCATCCCACCAACCAGAGGCCTCCTGATCATTGGCTTTAGAAAACACTTCCACTTCCTGGCCTTCGGTAAAAATTTCGTCACCACGTGTGCTCGCTGGCAGTCGCACTCGTTGGAACGGGAACTTGTTTGGTGGCTGCCAGCTGCACCACAACAAACAATTCAACATGTCATATCTTAGGCTGCCTCTCGACATAAGAATACCCGCACCTATTAAAAAAAGGGGGAGGGGGGAGTGCCATTCATTGCTTTTTAGATAATGTTCAAAGTACCTTGCTGCATTGGCATACCCACCTCATGGGCCAGGAACCAAACTCAACCAGTGATGTTGTGGTACTACGGCGAAGAGTTCCCATTTCAGGGACATGAAAATTCCATATTTTGGGGATTTTCCCCCGTAACCATTGACAGAATTCCCAACATATTTCCTGCACAACAGTATTAATTTCTGCCCCCATCCGCGCACACACATACTTTAATTACACGTGTCTCACGCACTGGGGTCTTTTGAAATCATGACCAGCCCCTCGACAGCTGCAGAACAAAAACTAGACTATTAATTCATATACTGTTAGTACACTGCACATTGTATTTAACAATTCCTGAAAATTCCTACAATATCTAGATTCCCTTTGGCTCAAAATGACAGGCGAAAATCTTGCTGAAAAAAAAAAAAAATTCCCTGCACGAAACATCACTGAACTCGACGCAACTGTCTAAAATATTAGCAGGCACCCCGCGAGCAGTTCAGGGCTTCCACATGTAGAACAAAGTGTGCGGGCCTGAGTATTATTAACTGGCATCGACTTGTCTCAGACAAGGAAACCCATGCAAGCTCGAAAGGTGAATACAAACAAAGAAATAGTTCACGCTGCTCTCTTTGCTCTCAAGTATTTACTAACAATACAGAAGTGCTCATATCATTACAGTGATTAGATGCGCTTTGAACATAAAACCATAGGGCACAACAGATATCCCAATTAGGTGGCACGCATACTTCAAGCACAAAACTGCCAGATCAATGGATAAACTAGGATGATGAGCCCTGTAGCGATGATGAGCCCCATTTGAGCAATTAGAGCATGCAGAACACTTGACTTGTGTACCTTAAGCACTGTGAATGCGGCACTTTCTTGAACTTCTTGTATAACCAATTTTAACGAAGATGAACAACAGTATCAGTGAACATGCGCATTCTTTTACATTTCACTAATACCTTGCCCGTAAAATATGTATGGGGGGGAAATGTACAGCTGCAGCTTCGTCTGTGTATAACGCAGGAGCAGCCAGTTTTTGCTCTACGGGCAAAACCTCGGGGCAGTATCGGGCGCTGATGTGGTCAGCCTGACAGCTAGGCCGCACACGCTTATGATACAGCACACCTCAGAGCCCACAACTGCCTCGAGGTTTCGCCCCCCAGGGCAAGAACTGTCTGCTTGCAGGCTATACACAGACATGGCCGCGGCTGTACATAATGTAGTGGCGATCATGTCAGAGAAGTATGAAACGGCAACACATGCACTAATGCCCCCATGCTACCACTCGAAGTACCGTGTGAAGGAAACAAGTTAAAAAGAAAATGTGGGGTAAAGGGAAATCTAAGCATCAATATGTGGGCTTGAAAAGGTCCCTCAGCCACAGTAAATGAGAGAATGAGGAATGAGCGCCCCTATGTGAACATTATATGAAGCAGGTAGAAAGAGCACATTTGAGGACAGTTAAGCATCACATACTGATGGCATGGTGAAAATTTTGTTAGTTACAACTTTTTGTACATTCTGCAGATTTGAATTTTTTTCCCTGTAAGGCTCCACCTAGACAGAGCCTTGCAATTCCATTCTATGCATGAAATATGTTTCTGTCTACGAGGGCAGCAAATCATATTACTAAACTCATATTTCAGCAGACTACTGTTTGCGAAAGACACCTGTAGAGCTATGTTTCTAGTCAGTATTTCATGAAGTGTATGTAACTATGCAAAGCTCAAAGTAAAAAAACCCTCCCAACGGAGGCAAGTCCCAACTTCGAGGTGCGTGACGATGACTGAACACGTACTGGTGATCAGTAACAGAACGACAAATTTGTTTACATCCCAGTGAGTTCTGCAAAAACCCAGTAACGGCTGGGAACAGGAACTTAAAGAATTTAGCCTTTTGTGGGACAGCAGGACACATACGTCCTACTTTTTCTTTTGCAGAAACCTTTTTTCCCACATCAATTGTCACAATTAGCACAACACTAAGTGGCTACTGTCTCATATAAGTCTCGAGATAAATTTAACTCGAGAAAAATTATTTAAGCGCGATTTCGAAAGGTGGCAGCTGTGCCATAATGCTTTTTAAATTTGCAATTTTTGGGGAAGCTTTTGAATTTCTGTCCCATTCATATAAAAAAAAGAACTGTCAAATGAATTGCCAGATATTCCAGTTCTGGTTTATTAAGTAGGCAATTTCAGTTCCCAGTCATCCTGTGTTTATGTAGACTTGCACAGTATATTGACTGAAGAATGCATTGAAACATCGTTATCTACGAAGCTGCCACACTTTTCAGTAAGCGTAATTGTGGATAATGTTACAAGATAATAATTTTCTTGGTAGCATATACCTCTTGAGAAGTGAGGATATTTTGGAATAACTAGAGTAAACGACCATTTCGACAGCGGAAAAAGGGACCGCGCGATTGGCAAAGAATGGTTTGTGTGTGTGGTGAAGCAAGCTTTACAGGAGCAGACCACAACTTCACGAAGTCTTGTAAGGCATATGTGCAGGTGCTGTTCCACTGCTGGAAATAAGGTGCCCACAATGTTCCTCTGCACAACATCACAAGTGCTCCTCTATGCCACTTGTTATGACCGTTTCCCAAACACTCACTGATGTGATCGCGTGCAGGCACCTTCACTTCCTTTTTTGAGGTTAATGCCGCAGCCAGTTTTTATAACATCATGCCAAAAATATAGGCGAACCTACAAAGGGTTAGCATGCAGCATTCTGATGCTCCGCACGCACGAAGTGAAGAAAAGAGAGACATCTATCATCTGCAGATGATAGATTTGCAGTTGTCAATGTTATGCTACATGGGACCAGTGACTGATTACGAATGTTTCTTAAGGGTTCCGACCTTGACTGGCTCATGATTGATGATTTGTGGGGTTTAACGTCCCAAAACCACCATATGATTATGAGAGACGCCGTAGTGGAGGGCTCCGGAAATTTTGACCACCTGGGGTTCTTTAACGGGCACCCAAATCTGAGCACACGGGCCTACGACATTTCCGCCTCCATCGGAAATGCAGCCGCCGCAGCCGGGATTTGATCCCGCGACCTGTGGGTCAGCTGCCGAGTACCTTAGCCACTAGACCACCGCGGCGGGGCAACTGGCTCATGAAACACAAAGCCATCTTGCAAGTTCAGTAAATTAGAGACAGTGTAGAACTTAGAAATTCTTGAACATGGGCATGCACGTGCCCATGCAACCAGAAACGGCAGCTCCAATGCCATTTTCTAAAGTTGCTTATATTGCTTCGCAGAATAGTGTACAGCGCGCATGTGGGGGTTGAGTAACCACACGATCAAGATAAGCACTCCAGCGTGAAGCTCCCTTACTGTTAATTCCTCAAGACAAGTTCTCAAAATAATGCCTCAAGTCAGCCATTAATTATATTGTGCAAAGCATACAGGTACAGTCAAGCACAAAAATTTGCAGACCACACGAGTGTGCCAAACTGCCTGCTCGCGCTATTCGGTCGAGCACCGAATAACACAAGCTGTTCATTTATATATATACCCCTAATTCATTTATATGCTAATGAATAACTAAATTCATTGGTATATAAATTTTCTGCTGGCACACTATTCAGTGTTTTCATGCAAAGCACTCATCTGCTGCATGACCGCCCCACTTCTACTTTGATAACAATGAAAGTTATCATGGCGTGCTTCTATGGGTGCCCTTGAGCAGACTCACTTTGAGGGAAAGATTGCATCTGATAAGAGATGCTGATAAGTTGCTCTTGAAACAGATGCACATAGCCACAACTTCCGAACAGCGTGTGCCGTTAAAAAGTGAAAGGTGGGAATTATAGACAGGCAAACCACTTATTAGCGAAAAGATGCGATTGGGGCATCACACTGCTGTTTTAGTGGAAATACAACAAAATGCTCTTAGCCCTGCACTCACCTGGTCGGTAAACTTTTGTGGCTGACTGTGCATACAACAACTTTTGGTGTTTATGGCTGTAGAAGTGGCAAAAGCACACCCAGCCACCACTTTCATTACCACATAATGCACACGAAATTGTGCGATAATTCTTGATCAACCATTTATAATTAGTGGCGAAAGGCAGTAAAACAACAATAGCTCAGAAACACTGATACTGAACATACTCTATCGTGTGACCCACTCAGGATGCCCCAATACACATAAGCAGTTCGCTCACTTGACGCACTTGAAAGTCACCCCAAGCAACTGTGTGTGTGTGGGGGGGGGGGAGGGGAACTAGCATTTCCTTCTCTCATTTATTCATAGCGAGAGACTCATTGTGGCAGACTTGATGCCTTGAAGGGGCCCTCCGCCTGCCTTGTTTAACACAAGAATGCGTACAGTAATAAATACAGAGACGAATGCAAAAAAAAAAAAACATTATGTAAATGAGCGCATAAAAACTAGCATTAGTCTTCAAAGTTCAAACCTCGAGCAGACAACACTAAGAAATGTTCTCTTCGGCATTTCACCCTCCTACAGTCATCAAATGCACTTGCAATTTCCACCGTGTTTTTTAGATCCATACTGGAAGACTCTCCTCATGGTCGTAGTTGTGCAGTGCCCCTAGCATAGTTTAGAAATCGTTTTCATAGTTTTGTATTTATAAGTGGAAATCCTTTTGTTTCAAATGAAGCAGTGATATTTATCATTTTTAGTACACATGGCCTAGCGGGAACCATTTGAGTATCACATGTGCCTTGTCGCGTCAAACCAATCAAAACGCCCAGCCAATGTCATCGCTCCCACGGGATGAAACATCACTTCTAATCTCAAAAATAGCCACTCTGTGTCGCTCTAGTCGCAAACTATTGTGCTTTTTCTGCTTAAATAAAACTATACCAGTGTTGTTTTTCGCGTTGCCACTTGTACGACGACATCAGTGAATCCCACAGTTCCAAAAGAAATGAAAAGAAAAAAAAAAAAAGCTCAATTTGTGACACAGGGACCCTTTTAAGGCAGTATACAAGTGCTTATCGGTCAGCTGTCTGTTCGTAAAGCCATGCAACACCATCTGGCAAAAAAAAAAAAGTGTTCCACTCGCTGTCATGGCTACATGCGGCACTGACTAACACTCCTAGGTTTGCGTGCACATAATGCATGAAGTGCACGAGAGGACACAGCAGTCACAGCTCAATCGGAAGAGCATCAAGCGAGTTTTCCGAAGGTTGCGAATTTGGTCCCTGCTGGCGGCAAGTTGACATTTAGTTTACATTTATCACATCTATCGTACTACAATACCATTAAAACAGAGCAATCTATGTCCTCCCTCCCCCATACATTTCATGACTTTATTATCAGTTGGTTTTCATTCGGGTTATATCAACAAAGAAGGATGCCTTTAAAAAAAAATTCCCATCTTTCATTCAACCAAGTGCCTGTGACATGCGAGTTTGTTACTTCTGTAAAGCCAAAGCAGATGCGTTTTTTCCTTTGCAATATTAAATACAGTACATAAGCATCAAGCAATTTAGGGCTTTGTCGCATTATTTCAAGCAAGCTTGTTTCGTTTTGCAACATTCACCTCCAGGCTATGCAAAGCCCCCCCCCCCCCCCCCCCCAAACCAAACTAGTTTCCCGAAAATACTAAGGCAAAGCTTGGAATCCCAAACGCCCCACCTCCCAGTACGTTTTTTTTTTATTCCAGACATGGTTGAATCGCAATTAAGTCAATGCCTTTTTTGTGTGTGTGCAGATAACAAAACCGTAATGGTACGCCCACTACAAACACTGCAACATTAAGGGCAATTACCAGAGCCGCTAAAAGAGCCCGAAACCTGCATGCGAGGTGGTTGATACCGCCCATGCGCACCCCGCTCGCGCCTGAGCCACGCGGAGAGGCTGACCGCAAAAAAAAAAAAAGAATCGTGCACAGCGATGAGTTTCACTTTCTCGAGCCTTCACATTCCGCACAACGAGAGCCAAAATAGAGACTGCACCCACTTCGGTCAACGCGAACTTTCGTTAAGAGCTCAATGCGGGAAACAAGCGGAGGATCTCGTATCAGGCGTGCGCCCGCTATGCTCGCTCGCACACCGAGGGAGGAGCCACACCAGATCTCGCCGCGTCTGACCACAAGGGCAGTACCAAATAAAGAAAGCACTCACTCATTTTCGAACGCGACTGTGATGTCGTTCTCGTGGACGTCGACGACGAAGGCCTGCGCAGAAAAAGAGCAGCAGCACGTGAGCCTCGCACAGAGGCGTTTCGCGAACGCGAGGTCCCGAGACGCTGGCAACGCCGTAGCGGAGGGCACAGATCTTCGCCGTTCGGCGATAAGCCACTTCAACCCGCTACGCTTCGACGTTAGGTCGCCACATTATTTCACAGCATGCACACGGAAGCTAGCGGCGATTTTATTAGGTTCAGTGACCCTATAAAGGCAGACGCCTTCGCAAAGGGAGAAACAAAGCTGTCACAGGCAGTGCTGCTTGGCCACACCGCGCGTGGTCCGATGGCACGGCGCAACAACAAAGCACGCTGCCAGGAGCGTAAAAAGCGCGTTTTCCGTCGCAAATCCTCACAAAAGAACGCGTTCGCTGGTACTTAAGCCTAAATTAAGGCCGGCAGCGACAGTTTGGATGGAGAGCGGCAACGCATTTCTAACCCTAACAAAACTTTCGAGTTCGGTCTGGCGTCCAACACGTTTAAGCAATGCGCGGCGCCTGGAAATTAATCTGGAAACTATCCTCCAGCTTCAACAGTGTCTCCTATGCAACAGAAAAAAATAATTTAAAATAGTATCAGCAAATTTACCTTATAGTGGGCTCCGTTTTCGCCGCGTACTTCGACCGTCAGGTCCTCCATCTTTACAGTCATGAGCATCATGGGATTTGGATCGGTGCTATTTTTTATGCGGACTATTCGTATCCACCGATGGTCGCTATCGCTTTTCTTCAAATGCGCTTTATGCGTAAATTTTTGTGTATCAAAGTAATCAAATCTCTATCACGCCAAACGTTGATGCGATCTTATTTTTAGTTTGCACAAAATGCCCGCTGGCTGCGCAAAGTGCAAACATGGTTGTCTGTCGCTGCTGATGCGGGCGCGCGATGTCTTTTTCGTGTAGTGGTTTCGTTGTACGAGAAGAAACATCTACGGTTTTTTTTTTTTTTCGTCAGATGTAGATTAGCCTGTTGAGACGCTTCGCGAGTGCGTGTAAATGGCCTCCGACAGTGACGACTCGGAGGAATTCTTCGATGCCGTTTCAAGTCCGATTCGCACTAGTGAAAATAAGTGAGTTGTCGTCGGTCATCCGAAAGCTTGTTTCCTTTTTTTTTTTTTTTTTTCCTCGCACGATCATGCGCAGGATTGCCTTCGAACTGTCGATGTCGCGGAAGGTCTCGTGTTTGAGTCGGCGTCGGCGCTGTTTTTCGGCCCCGCGACGTAACGGGTGCTTTAGGTGCAGCAGGAATTCCGTTTGCTCGAGTTGAATGGCACGGGCGCTGCCGCCCTTCTTTTGAAAAGTGCTGTGTGACCACGCGCTTGGGACACGCCTCGCTCCGGCGTGCGTTCCGATGGCGCGTGCCAAACTTGCCGAAAGTGGCGCCGATCTGAGGAACCCGATAAAAACGCGCCGGTGGTACGGGACCCTCGGATAGTTGTCAAACGGCTGCCGCTCTGGGTGTACTACCACGTCCTCTGCCAAACACTTTCTTTTTCTTCCCCCTCCTTCATGCAGCTGTTCGCTTCAGAAGTAAAATAAATAAATAAAATAAGCGGCTGCACAGCGCACCTGGATCCGTGCTTTACAATTGCCTGCCAAGCGAGGGTCAAGGTCCAGCTTAGTTTTTGAAAAGCTTTCGCTGTTGAGCCGCACACAGCGAGCTACCACATTTGACAGATAGCGTGCCGAAAGAAGCCACAGAGGAACAGTTATCTTAGCGCGTCAAAGGCAACCTCGATTACGATTTAGTGGATGACGAACGTAACGGGATGCTCGCGAAATGCCTGACGCATTACGTCATAGATTGTGGCGAATATGGCAATATCGGATGCTCGTAACTCGGTGGTGGTGTGGCGTGCATTCCGGTCTGCGCGTGAACGTCATTGGCGAAGTATGCGTGTCGCACTTCACATTTGAGACTCGTGCCGTGGTTTAACACTATTATCATTATGACTTGAAAACAGCCTGGTTTAACAAGTGTTTGCAACAAGTCTGTTACTGTGTGGAACATAGACCCAGGCTGAGAAACATATGTTTTCCTTATAAACAGCTCCTCGTGTATCAGCTAAAGCTTGAGCGCTTCTGTGGTATCGAAGCTCTTGAAATATAACATGGTAACTCAAGAAATATGTGAACCATTTGATTGATAGAATCAAAACTAGAACGTAAAATGCATTTTGTGTTGTCAGTTACAAGTTCCATCTCTTTTGCTCGCAGTGCTGTTGGGTGTGGTTAAATTCTTTTTTTCTACTATTTCATTCATACAAATCTTATGTATTTATTTTTATAGCTTCTATGCAAACCATAAGTCATTAGCATATTTAAAATTTTTAATGAAAATTGTTTTCAATGTCTTTCAGTCTTTTTTTTCTTCTGAAGACCAGATATCCATTCAGTCATGAAGCTTTTTGTCCCGAGTAGTTATTTTTCAATGCATAGTTGTTCTAGACCAATATAAGGATTTCTTTCACTTTGTTACATTGATATATCATCCCAGCTGATACGACTGATAATTAAGTGGAGTGGCACTTATGCCATCAACAAATGAGTGGTAGAGTCATTTCTGAATCCTGGCGTAGGACACTTTTATTAGGATTCCTGTGTGCTGTTTGACCTTTAGTTAACATGCAATAGCTAATGCTGAGAAAAGAAAGGGAGATACTAGAAAAAATTTCATTAGGTGCAGTAGTTTTTGCTTTCAGCCTTTGTTATAATTGACAATGAGACACGCACCAATTGTAGTAGCTAAAGATGTCAGTGCATCTGACCTCACCACAAGTGAACACCTCCAGAATGTTGAATAAAATAAATCCAGGAATGAAAATCTTCCGAGCAAATGATCCTGCTTCAGTGTGTCATCAAAAGTACGGAGGAATAAACACTTAGGAGGTGCAACTATGCTCCTTGAGGCGACCAGATAAAGTCACATTGCCAGAGGACCAAATCATGCTGGCGGCGTCTTGCGGTAGAAAGGGGAATTACCGCCATTTCAATTTTCGAGAGAACCGCTCGCGCGCTTTGCTCTCGTTCTGCCGCAGTCACGAAGAGGTGACACGGAGTGCTTTCTTACACGCTTGGCTGCTAGTATTGCCCTCTCTTTTTTTTTCGTGGTTGCAGCTTGCCGCCGCCAACTGAAATGTCTCCTTTGGAGCATGTTATTTTTGTATTTTTATGTGACGTTATCTGGACGCCTACAGAGTTACACTTCCTAAATATTTCTTACTCTGTGATCAGAAGCCATTCACGCAGTTCACACCGTGCTGCTCATAGCAAACAACTGCGCTTCCCAGAGGTGAAAACATAGATAGCAGGCTTTGATGACCTTTCAAACGGCGTACCTGGGTTGCTGTTTTCATGCGCTCTTGAGTGCTCTCAAGTTTCAGTAAAAGATAAACTGAAGACATTTTTCAGAATCATTCTTCACTTGTTTGTTGTGTACACTTCAAGATGAAAGCCTCTCCCGATAATTTTTAATTCATCCCGTCCTACACGAGTAGATTCCACTTTTAATCTGCAACTCTCCTAATTTCATTGCCCCACCTAACATCCTTGATAGCATTTGTTCTATGTTTGATTACGGCTTGAGAAAAAAAAATGTCATCTTCAGCCACAGGCATAACTCTCCTTCCCATAATTTACATAAATTTACATAATTGCTCCATCAATAGCACATACTAATTTTTATGATGTTGAGCACATCTCGAGTGTTCCAAATAGTTCACTTTGATATACAGACAAGCATTCACTTTGCTAGTTCTAGTTCGGGAAGTTTATTCTCGTAGTCACTGTGCTATCTTCCTGTCTCGAGCGAGAGAGGAAGAACATTCAGCCTCTTAGTAATTAACCTACGACATTTTGTTTCATTTCTGCTGGATGGGCGTGGCTGTGGGCATCGATGAGGAGGTTGCAAAAGGGGCACTTGCCACCGCTCACGCTGCACCAGGGCTCTCTCCCCCAGTTGTGATGCAACGCTGGTTTGCATCCCCCCAGACAAAATCCTGACAACACTCATGGGCGTGGTCGAAGTATCTGCTGGCAACACCTGGTTTCTATAGAACACAGTTCTGGTCCAAAGTTTGAAACTTCAAATTGCAACTACTGAAGCCTGTTAAGTCAAATACATGTGGGAGCAGTAGGTTGGACTGCACTGACTCGGCCTGCTTGTAGCCTTAATGTCTATCGGCAGATGGTAGCTTTACTTCATGGTCTGCCCGGTTACTTTGGGGGGCAGCTTCTGGTACTGCTTCACTGTGCTGTCTGGGGAGACTGTGTAACAACTTTGCCCTTCACTTGTGAACTCCGCACTCTGTGCACAGCTGCACAGTTTGGCTGAATTGTGCACAGCTCCATTCATCTGCAGTGTGTTTTCTCATGCAACCCTAGGGCCAGTGCAAAGGCCCCTTTCAGCAATTAAATAGAATGTTGTAAATATGATGTACATATTAAATGTGCGGGCAGAACTTGGTGTAGCAAATTACTAAACAAGATGCACCTAAAGTTCCTCTTGATGACGTGTATCAGCCTGTGTGAAATATATGCTTATAAAAAACACAGGCTGAAATAAAAGTATTTTGTCTCATGCTATTTTATTGTATAATGAGTTATAACAGTGCGTCTCTTTCTCTCTCTTTCATTTTATTAGAGTGCATTTTGCCACAAACATGGTGTCGGCAGTCGTCACTGTAATTTGATATTTCTGAGGACATGCTGTATACCTCTCTTGTCTCTGTATTTGGATCTCACACGCAACGCCTTTCATGCCGTTAATAGTTCCTCCATTCTGTATTCAGGGATGTTGTCGAGCAAGATGGCAAGCGGTCCTCACAGGCAGAAATGGAAAAGGCAGTTGAGGTAGGCTTGTAATTTTCATTGCCAGGAAGGTAATAAAAGGTTGAGGGCAGCCGCTTCAGTAAATGCACACTGTGTATGTTTGTGTTAGTGTTTTCTGCTTTTTTGTGTATTTTGTTATAGTACTGTGTCGGTACCAGGCCAGCTAACAAAAATATTGCGATACTGCACCTTCTTGCGAGATATACTGCATTCAAATGAATTTGTGGGGCATGTTTGAAGTATCCTATTTGATTTGAAACAATCCAGTAACGCTTCAAAACAAGATATGGAACAAAATGCCTAGCACACCAATCAGTCAATAGAATGTAAAAATGCCAAGTGAGATAGAAAAAGCAAAATTAAAGTAAGATATACCAACTTGCATTCTCCTGTGGGAGTAGCTGCAATGCTCACACCAGCACCTGAGTAAATGACCGATTTAGGTCATACTATGCGATTGGGGTCACTTAGCTGACCAGTGTGAAAAAACTATCTGCTTGAACTTTTATTAATGTGAACATATGTAGCATCTTCAGCGATGTTGACACAAAGGGAGTTTGATGTGTTTTGCATCAGAAAGGTACGCTAGATGATAATTGTATCAAAATTCTTCCACAGTGATAATTTAACTTCGGGTATTGCTCTGTATGTGTCATTGCATGACTTGTATTTTGTTTAGCTCTGTTAAATTAGGAAGTGCAATGTCCATAACCAACTGTTACAGCTTTCTTTGGTTGCTTTTCAATTTGCTTCTTCTTCTCTGTGTCTTTTTTCATACCCCAGAATATGCATTTAATTGCAGTTATTGTAGAATAACTTTGTACTTTACAGGCTTTGCCTTCTGTGATGATTCTTTAATGCCCCAGTGAACTTGTGTCCCCCCCCCCCCCCCGAAAAATGATTGTAGCTCACTTAGAGGTTGTTGGCGAATCGCAGCCATAAGGTCTTTTACATTGGTACGAAATGTTTGGGTTTAAATGTTAGTGAAATGTTTGAGAAAATGTGCATCTCCTGCTTGGTGCTTCCACTTTACAATGGTGCATGTGTTAAGTGTTATTCTGGAATTACAAAATGTAGGTGTTTTGATTTATTATATGCTTTTCCACATGATTTTTCCTCATACATTTTTTTCCCCATTAAAAGTAAGATACTGTAATAGCCATTCTTTCTAAAAGCTCTTGTCTTTCAATTCTTCTCATCATCCCAGTTGGTTTTGCACGTAATATTTCACAATGAATCTTTTGTAACTCGCCCAACTGCCAGCTCTTTCTCTTATTCACTGTTGCATGACTCTCCCTTGGTGTACTTGCGAATGCTAGCTTTTTGCTGCTTTGCTGCAGGAGGCAAGTCGCAAAGCCCAGGAAGCTGAGCGGCGGCAGCAGCAGATTGAGGAGATGCGCCGCCGTATGCTGTACGAGGATGAGGAACCAGGGTTTCTCTTCGGAGCAGAGCTCTGCCGAAGGCCTTTACCTGCAGCAACAGTGAGTCAGCCATGCCATATAGTGCACCAAAAGCAACACTGAAAAATTAGATGTACAGGCGGACATGCTTCGCCATTTGTAATGCATGAAATTCCGTGGTCACTATGGTGGCCTTATCTCTCTAAAAAGGCGACAGTTGCCTTATTTCTTTTAAATTCTAGAAGGCTTATTTTGCCTCTTGTCTTTCCCCAGTGATCGTGTGCTCACAGAGGACCACAGGTGAGCGTTTCGAATTGCTTTACACCTTTATTTGTTTAATATGGAAACTTCCAACTTCTCTGCAACGTCAACTTTGATTGGTTTTCTTTCCTTCTTACTTTTTTCTGTTTTATTCTTTGCTTGTGTTATATAACTAGCAACATGACATAATGAAATATGAAGCTATTGTTTTATAATATAGGGGTAGTTGATAGCAATGTTAATAAGCAAAATATCTTGCCCTAGTAGCAGTGGGAGCAGAGGTAGTGGCATAAAGACCTGAAGAGAAAAGCCTGTTTTGATTAGACTTTGTGCGACTACTCAAATGCTTCGAATATTCGAACCAATAGCGCAGTATTCGAATTCGTCTTGAATCAATTTTAAAATTTTGAAAATTTTGAATTATTGGAAACGAACTAGTAAATACGTATTAATCTGCATGTAACTCCCTGTAAAGGTAGTTTCACTGCAGTGGAAGGGTGACAAGCTGTGAAAACACATTCAGACGAAATCCGCACTGCCGCCTCGTCGGTTAAATGAAGATATTAACCTCACATCGATTTATTTGTCAAGTTTAAAAGCTTGTTATACCAAATTATAAGCACATACTATATCAAATTTTAAAACGTAGCATATTTTAGAGGCCATCACTTTCATTCTACCAAAAGTGAAATCCTTCTACTTTTCAATGCTTCCCCTTCTTTTTGATGCAAAAAAAAAAAAAAACCTATTTGCAAGAGCCTTGTCTTGATTTCAAAGAAAAAAACACTGTGCAGGTTAGTTTGGTCACGACAAATATGCACATTTTCTCTTATAATATGCGACACGCATATTTTTCAAATTCACTTTGAACCTGAAATTCACTCTTCATACAAGCCTAGTTTTGCCCGGTTGCTAGCGAAAACTTTTCACAAAGACTGTTCTCTGGGTAGGGGTGCTGAGCCAGACCTTGTAGCCAGCACCAAGGAGGGTCCCATGCCGCCACCACGTCGTCGTCGAGGGCAGGCGCCCAGTACCAGCGGAAGCGGTGATGCCACTCCACGGGGCTTGCCACACAGTCCAGCACCATCCATTGCGGAGTTCTCCATGGATCTGCCAAGTGCCTGCAGGGGCCAATATGTCGTCAAACCTCAGGTGCACTTTCTGTGCTTGCAGTACACTTGAATCCCGTTTTGTTTCTATACATAGAGTGATAAATGTGTAGAAATCGAATGTGGACTGTCGTTTGTAAAGAACCCGATTACTTCACTGTGGAAAAGGCATAAAGGAGTGCAAATAATAGGCAGTGCTTGGTGAAAAAGAATGCAGCCTTCTACTAATTTATAAATGCACGTTGTTGCTGCTAGATGAAAAGTTGTGAAGACACAAGGATAACACTGGGTGGGAGACCACAAATGGTTTTTTTAATCATAACAATCGCTTTGATAAATTTTCTGGTGCTACACAAGCTTGCGATAGATTTTTTTACTTATTATATTAAAACTTCTTACATGTGTAAATGTGTGCGCTGCACAATATGAGGGTCTGACCACAAAGTAATGAGACTGTGTCTGACAAAAAGAACTTGGTGGTCCTATCTGTACGTAATATATACATTCTCAAAAGTAGTTTTCTTGGGTCTGAAAGCTTAAGTGCACTTAAGGTCACCTATGCACTGCAATAGGGTGCAGAAAAATAGGGTAAAATTCGTGCCATGGTAAAATCCGTGCCTCGCGTCATCTGCACCAGTCTGCACTGGTGCCCTTTAGCCTGGCAACGCTAGCGCAAATATCGCTCGCTCAGTGCAGAAAAAGCCGCCTGGCGTGGGAGTGTATCAAAAAGTTTGCGGGCACTTTGGCGGCGTGGGCGGTCGCTCGCCCGCTCTTAGTGCCATCGTGAATACGGATCCGCTACTTCTTACTTCGCTCTAGGTCGAGCAAGCTGTGGACATGCTTCAAGTAATCTGGTCTAAAATACACGTATTGGGATCAGGACTCCGTGACACTTCGATAAAAGCGAATTCAAATAAAGTGACTTTGTTATAACGAGGGTTTACTGTACGTAGTTGTGGTCTACTAAGCTTATTTTTTTCACATTGCCTTGTTTTCTTTAATCTCATTTGTTATGGCTCCATAAAACCTGAGCCATTCTATTGCAGTAGTTGTTGCTGTGTCTCTAAGCTTTAATTTCTCATCACGTAGCTTGCACTTTTCAACACAAAATTGTAGATCTATCTTAGTTTATATTTGTAGCTGTAACACTGTGTGGTGCTTGAGAGTAACAAAAGTGTGTTTCTGGATTTATGTTCAATAAACTACTTTAGTGAGATGAAAAAACTGGTCCTTTCTCTTGCATTTTTCGACAACTTGTTCATGCTTGAGTAAGGCTGTGTGCTCAGGACAGGCAACATCCAAATTACATAAATATATGCTTATCAGTGCGTAGCACATACCGTATATACTCGTGTAAGGGCCGCACTTTTTTTTCGAAAATTTTGCTAGGTGCGGCCCTTACACGAATCAGGCCGATTTAGTACAGGCAGTACAGGCCAAAGGTCTGTACTGTTTATGCAACAGTAGCAGAGTGCAAGAGTCACAAATGACATGCCAGAAATGTTTTTATTCGGATTCCATTTCGCTGTCCTCGTTCTCGGAGGAGCTCGCCTCGGCGTCCGCGTCTTCCCAGAGACGGTCATCTTCGGTGCCGTTCATGGAGTTCGAAATTCCCGTTACCTTGAAGCTTTTAGCAACTACTTCTACTGACATGGCACGCCACGCATTCAAAATCCATTCACACACCTGTTGGAGCGACGCCCGCTTCAGCCGTCCTGTAGGGGTCTTCTCGTGGACGCCTCCAGCCATCCATTCAGAGTAACATCGGCGAAATTCCACTTTGAATGGTCTGTTGACGCATACGTCGAGCGGCTGCAGCACACTCGTCAGGCCACCGGGAATGACGGCCAAGTCCGTACGAGTTGCGGCAACTCGGTTCTTGACGCGGTCGGTCAAGTGGCCCCTAAAGCTGTCCAAAACAAGGAGGGCTTTCCGTTGTAACAGCCCTCCAGGTCTGTTTGCCCAGACGGTCTTAATCCAGTCAACGACCAGTTCCTCGGACATCCAGCCCTTCTCTTGCGCACGTACGACGATTCCCTGAGGGAACTTCTCTTTTGGGAGAGTCTTCCTTTTAAATACGACGTACGGCGGAAGCCTCCTGCCGTCTGCCGTGATGCACAACATCACAGTGCACCTTTGGCGTTCTGCACCAGTCGTGCGCACAGACACACTTTTCGCACCTTTTAAATCCACTGTGGTGCTTTCCGGTGCATCGAACCACACAGGTGTCTGGTCCGCATTCCCAATTTGGGACAGGTCGTATTCATGCTCCCTCCTGAGAGCATTCACGAAGCGATGAAACTTAATGACGTGGTCTTCGTACTCGCGCGGCAGTTTTTGGCAAATCGTCGTTCGGCGCCGAATAGAAAGCTGGTTACGGTTCATAAACCGCGTAGCCCAGCCCCGACTTGCCTTGAATTGTGCCGGGGGTATTTCCATGTGGCGAGCGATGCTGAGGGCTTTGACGCGTATCATGTCAGTCGATACGGCGTAGCCGTCCCTTCGTGTGTCGACGACGTAGTTGACGAGCTCGCTTTCGAGTTGCGGGTACTTGCACTTTTTCCCGCGAAACGCCTTTCGGCTCCTGTTAGTAGCGGCGAGGGCATCTTTCTGATTCATCCAGTAACGCACGCGCTTCTCATCGACGTCGTACTTTCGTCCAGCTTCCCGCTTCCCGTGCTCCTCGGCATAGTCAATCACTTGCAGCTTAAATGCTGCAGTGAATGATCTCAGATGCCGGCCCATCGTCCGTCACGTGCGCTGGCTTCTGCAGGGTTCACTACAACCAACAAAGTGACACCGACGACACCGATCTGAAGTCGCGCTGCCAACGTATCGACACGATGCTAGGAACGATGCCAACAAAGAGGCCGCACAAGGCAAATATGGCGGCGCGCTGTCAACAGCGTGGTCGGCGCGTCGGCGGAAGTAGAATAAAAGCGGAAAAGCGTGCAGCGCCATCTGGCTGTAAATGAACTAACTACACTTTTCTGGCGGGACATTTTGAACTTTTTTTTTTTTTTTTTTTCGAAATATCCGCTTTCAAAGTTGGGGTGCGGCCCTTACACGAGGGCGGCCCTTACACGAGTATATACGGTAGCCATGCTGTTGTTAACACTGCCTGTGCGAAGACACCAATTTCCTGAAATATTTTTAGTGTTTCCTAGTAGCATAGCCAGTAACATTTTCAACAGATTCACGAATGCAGTGGACATTTTGCAAGAAAGATTCCTTGTTCATGTGAGCTTGCAGGATGATGAACGCGACCGTGGTAACCCGCGGAGTCCAGAGTCACGTGTAGAAGGGAGCTTGCGCCAGCTGAACATAATGATGCGCACCCGCTCCGATTCTGGCCGGCCACTCACCGACAAGGTAAGTCCTGCTAAAAAATCTGTAGTGTTTGCAATTACACAACTCATCCTGAGCATTGTGCTTAAATATATGTTAAATAGCTGGTTCCATCCTCCTATTTTCCTTTTAAGAAAGATGGGACAAACATTTTCCTGCAAAAGCTGTTGTGTTTAAAGGGGTACTCACACAAAATTTAGCGTCCGAGATAGCCTGTGGTATCGATTCCCGTGAACATGCGTATATCATCTGCGAAATATCGACAGCGAGACATAGCTTGGAAGATATTTGAGTTAAAGCACACTCTTCCAGTGGCACTTAGCTTCTTGTTCATGCTTGTGCTAAGTGCTAGTGAATTAAGATTCAGTTGCATCAACAGGCCCCAATAAGTATGCATTCACTTTTGATTTGACTAAGTGATATCTCTCTAGCACGTGATGACGTCTTGTACTCAGTGAAGCTGCTGGAATGCAGGAAATACTTGATCAAGTGGAGGTGCTTAATTTGGACACGGGCGAGAAAGTGCCCCTAAGTGTGGCCGAGGAGCGCCTTCCACGCTGTCTCAACCCACTGGCTTTGCACATCATGCGCATCACGTCCGAGTATGTCGGCCAGTCAGATGTGGGGCCTGCCTCGGACGAGGAGAGCCATAGGCCACCGGGTGACTCCATTGATAGTCTTCGCCGCAGAGCGTAAGAGCACTATTCTTTGTACATTGTGTGCATTGTACATTCTTGTACACTGGCCCACCATTGAGACAGAGCTGAACACTTAAATCTTCTACAAAAAGACAACTTAATAAAAAATATATATATAAGCTACACCCACAGCCATCGCTCTCCTTCCCAGAAAAAATGTGCAAAAATGCTCCATCCAAAAGCGCTTGGTCGTTTTCGTGACACGAAAAAGTTCTTCAGCGTTTCAGATAGTGTTCTCATACAGACATGCATTTGTGATGCTGGTTTTGGGTCAGAAACATGAAACAACCTGGTAAATTTCATTCTGCATTCTGATAATGCTGCCGAGTCAAACTTAATGTTTTGTATTTCTATCATGATTTAGTATTGTCATTAACGCCGAACCTTCAACTCTTAGAGATGTGCAAATAGCACAGTTTTGGGTTTGGAGAGAGTTCAAATGTTGAAGTCAGTGCAAATTGAATGGAATATGTTTATAATATCTCTTGAATAAAAATGAACAGTTCTTTGGTGTCAAAATTATTCAATTTGCAAGAAAGACACCAATTATACAATACTGCAAAATGTTCAATAATATTTCGGAGCTTCTTATTCCTCAAAACACGAGTCCACAGACAGCGCCTTGTCAACGTCTGCAAACATAACACTTGTCTCAGTTCTCTCGAGCATTGAGTCTGGCTGGCAAACACATGGCATCTTCTCTGCGTGTGGCTGCCTTGGGCAGAGTAGGCTCTGTGATCAAGAAAACCTAGAATACCTCATGAATGTTGGTGATAAACAAGCTAAGAGCAGTAACAATAAATATAGAAAGGAACTTCTACCCCTTGCAAGCGAGTACTGATGAAGGTTAAAATCAGGTTTTGCACGTCTCTGTTACGATCGTGCCGTGATTCT